CCCAACTGAGCCATGCACCGGCTCCTGGGCTCCTTCCCCCCTACAGCGCACTGGGATTCTCTGGTCCTGGAATATCTGTGGTCATGCTGGATCATGGATGTTGTTGAACCAGAGAATCCCGGAACTTAGAGGTGCCACCTGTATGCTCCTGTCCCTGTGTGTTATGGAATTATGGAAATGTAGGGCTGGAAGGGGCTTTAAGAAGTCATCAATTCCCACTTAGATGTTAGGACTCTCTCAACCTAGACCACCTCTGACCTTTTTAAAAGAGAGAGTAGTTTTGCTTTCTGCGCTTGCATGCCTAGAATTTGCAGGAGGGGGTTGCTGACTGAACTGTAGTAGCACATGGATTGGATGCAGAGGGAGCACAAGGCTCTCCCCGTCAGTGTTATGCGCAGTCAGCACCCACCTCACTTCATGTGCCCTTGGTTCACATGCCTGTCACTTTTGTAATATTGGGAGGAAAAAACGATGCGGATGAAAACCAGCAGAAACTCTCAACCTAGCGCGTGGGCAACAGGAAACAAAATGTCTCGTGGGCCACTCATAGAAAACTCAGGGGCCCTGAGGCTGCGGGTTACCAGCCACAGGCTTATGAGAACGTCTTGGAGAAATGTGTCAAAAGGCTCACAAAATGAAGGTATATCATGTCTCCAGCTTCCCCCATCCATTATGTCAGCAATCCTATCAAAGGAGAAATATAAACTGGCTTGACATGATTTTGTTCTTGACGCATCTGCAATGACCATTCCTTCTAACCCTGTTGTCTTTCAAGTGCTCACAAAATATTTGTTTTATGATCGGTTTCATTATCTTTCCAGGTGTTGAAGTTAGACTGACTGATCTAAATTCTCTTGGACCTCCTTGTTTCTCTTTTTAAATACGGGCACTGTGCAGTCTTCTAGGACATTTCCCACCCTCTAGGAATTCCCAAAGATAAATGCTAATGGCTCTGAGATTGAGTCAGCTGGTTCCTTTTGTACCCCAGGATGAATGTCAGCAACTTGAATACATTTAACTTATCTACATAGTCTATTATCTGTTCTTTCCCCATTTTGATGGGTTGTGTTGTTATCAGACCATCGCCCAACTTTTTAGTGAAGAGTGAAGCAAAATAGGCATTAAGCACCTCAGTTTTGTTGATGTCGTCAGTTAACTTTCCTTCCCTGCTAAGTGTAGGAACCTACCCTTTTCCTTCATCTCTCCTGTTTCTAATGTATTTAAAGAACCTCTTTTAATTGCCTTTTATGTTCCTTGCAAGCTTAACTAACATTTGTTAGTTAAGATATTGTCTAGGAGGAAGTAATGTTTGAGGGCAGATAAGCCTCATCTGGATCTGGCCACAGGCAGGCTCTTTTTGTTGCTTGGTCTTTCTTGGGCAGTTCCCCATGGAGGAGGTTTCTCAGTTCCTCTGAGAATGTGCAAATCTTTTCCACTGCATTCCTAACTCCACAGCTCCTTGTTCTCACCTGTGCCCTGGAAGCTGAGGGTTCATACCGAGGGGCCCTCCAGTTCCTTTTTAAACCTTAATATTCCAAGTAAGGGACACAGACATTTCTTTGGAGAAGGGCACTTTACAAATTATTTCAGGGAGAAATACGCCCTTTATCTCCAGAGCAGAAGCAGCATGGAGACCCGCAGTGCAAGCCTGCCTCATTCCACCCCTTGCCAACACGCCTTAAATCTGAATTCTTGGGACCATGTGTGTTGGTGAGGTCAGAGTCTGTACCCATGATCCTCTCAGTCTTTAGCGACTTTGCTGGGATTGCCACCTACTATTCACTGTGATGGTGACTTTAGGACAGGCACTGTTTAGGGGTTGCATCCAGGGACCTTGTCTGAGAGCCAACAACCTCATTGCACATTAAGCAGTTTGATAAATACTTCGGGTCCGCCAGTGACCCACACTGAACTTTCACCTCCACTGGGTATTTCCACTGACTGCAGCTGAGCTACTCTGAATTCACTATAGTGTTAATTCACCCTTCAAACCTCCTTCTAGTTCTGCTATTTGGATAGTGTTTAGCAAGCAGAGATGAGGGTGAATTATTAATTTTTTTTCACTTCCCTGGCACCATTGTTTGTAGATCTCCAAGGGCACTGCAGGCAGCGAGTGCAAGCTTGGGTTGCAAGGAAGAGTCGTTACGACAATGAAGAGGAAGAATTGAAAGTCTGTCATGCATCTAAGCTGAGATCCCATGGGAGACACTTTATGAGATCCAGGCATTATAACAACCAAACTAGCCCCCAGATTGCTCCTAATGCACCATTGCATGCAGCCGGGCCAGGGGTAGGGCCAGGGCCAGTGGAGCAGATAACATAGGACCCTGGCATGGAGGAAGCAATGATTAATAAGAATTTTTCATCCTCATCATATTTGATTTGGATGTCTGGGTAACAGCCCAGGGCTGGATTCTTTTAAGGACACTGTGTTTTGGCTTCTGGTTAACCAGTCTTGTTAGGGTTGCCAGGTGTCCAGTTTTGAACCAGACAGTCCAGTATTTGAGCTATCTGTTTGGGAAACAAATTGAGAAAATAGAAATGAGAAAATAGAAATGTCTGGTATTTTCTAAATAAGATGGAATGTAGGTTGTGATGTCATGTCCAGTGTGTCCGGTATTTTTGTTGAAACCATCTGGCAACCCTAATGCTGAAGGGCTAGTGAGGGCAGAGAGGGGGGAGGAGGAGAGAGGCTATCTCCCAGCCCCGCTCTTTCTACCCAAGATCCTCTCCTCCTTACCCAGAGCCCCAGCAATTCTGTCGGTGCCCTGGCTATACAGCTCAAGGAGGCTGCCAACACTGTATATCAAAAATACAGTTTCTCTGTCAGTACTATTGATGTCTGGGCTGGCTGCATGACAGAGGGGAGGCCAGGCCACAGCTGAGTGACACCCAGGCAAGCCAGACTCATGCTCTGGACGGCTCCAGCAACGTTCTGCATTGAAATAGACGACAAGAGGCACTGGGTGTTGATTTACTGTGGGACAGGGCATTTTTTTATTTCAATAAGGGACATTTCTAATGACTGTGAAACTGGCTGGTCTGCAGCCAGCAAAGCAGGGACATTCCATGGCTATCTGTTGCAGCCTGCATGACGCTCCCCCTGCTGGACACTCACCAGGCTGCTGCGCTTGTGTCCATCACAGCAGAGCTACGGGCCTTCAGCTTTCCCAGGCTCAGAAGGCTCTAGCTCAGTCTCTTTCCTTGGCATCCCTGGCACAGCTCCTGGGCACGGGCTCTCTGTTCCCCTTTGTGGAGATGGGAGCTAGGGGTCCAGCTGCCCTAGGTCACCAGGACCCCACTGCTTAATCTCAATCTTTCAGACACTCCAACTTCGGGGCACTGTAGGTTAGAGGTTACCTGTCTGGATACACATGAGCGAGGCTCTAGCTCAGTCTCTTTCCTTGGCATCCCTGGCACAGCTCCTGGGCACGGGCTCTCTGTTCCCCTTTGTGGAGATGGGAGCTAGGGGTCCAGCTGCCCTAGGTCACCAGGACCCCACTGCTTAATCTCAATCTTTCAGACACTCCAACTTCGGGGCACTGTAGGTTAGAGGTTACCTGTCTGGATACACATGAGCGAGGAATCACCTAACACCGACTTGGGAAAAGTTTCCAAACCAGCCACTCTGCTCTAGGTCACCCAAGGCATGTAGAGACCTAGTCCGAGCAATGATACCTGCGTGAATTTCCCCGCTTCAGCTTCCTAACCATTCATGAACCTTCTTTGGGCATAGAACAGAGCCCTCTATGAGTCCGGGATCCGCTCTCCTGCATGTGACATCTCTGAAACACAACATCTCTTCTTCAGCCACCTTCCTTCTTCCCAGCTGGTCCCACAGTTCTAAAGGCCCCCGTGAGGGTGGAAGGGTTTAAATCAGTGGAAGGGTTTAAATCAGGTTGCGCAGAGCCCTGGCTAATGAGGGAGAGGCTCTCACGGAGCCAATCAGGGTGTGGCTTGTCCCAGCAGAGCAAGTGAGTTAAGCTCTGACCAGGGAAGGTGCAGGAGCTGGTTACTAGAGAAGCACCGTCCCAAGGGCAGTGCTGGGAATGCTCAGGAGGGCTAGTGCAGGAGAGGTCCAGGCTGATACCTGCCAGGCTGCAGGTGTTGTTACAAGGGCCAGGAGGGTGCAAAAGGGCCACCAGGGAACTAGTAACAGTGGAGGAGAGGGCAGAGCTCTCCCAAAGGCTGCTGCCAGAGGGTCCCTGGGTCAAGACCCAGAGTAGTGGGCAGGCCTGAATCATCCCTTGCACAACCTCTAGTCGTCATTGTTTTGTGGCCTGGAAGGGCTGTGGCTTTTTTCAGAAGT